GCTTTCAGTTTGCCGTTCACTCTGCGTTGCGGAGCTCTCCGGGGTAGACGAGCTCTGCTTACGGTGCACGCTGCCAGTCCATGTGCTTCCGATGCAAAGATTCTGGGCACGTGCACCCAAAGAGGGTGCGGGGGTAGCACTTGGATCCTCAAATAAGGGGGGCGGCTGAGATTTTATTTAGTAATATTTCGAATGAGTGATCGTATCTCTGGCCTCGGCATGGGGAGGGACTACTCGCTGGAAGAAGAAAATCTACGGGGTGCACGCTACGTGTGCATCCAGGAAAGCGAGCCAGCACACGAGGCGGCCACGTGGCTGCCACGGGCGCCCACTGGGCGACAGTCGGGCGGGCTTCGGACGTGGATATATCTGTCCAGAGCGCCCGTGAACGCTCCCAGAGCGTTCCAGGAGGCTCTGACAAATGCCGCGGCGCCCGATTCTTATCCGTGTCCACTTCTGTCCCTGTCGTGGCTTCGGGTGGGACAGTCCGGGAACGCGAGCCAGTTCACGAGGCGGCCTCGGGCGCCCGCCGCGCGAGAACCCGGAAAGGCTTGCCACTTCTAACGGCAGGTGGATTCACGGCCGGCGGATCACGTACGTGCCCATCGCGTGGTCCGCCTGCGGCCGCCCCCACCCGAAGGCGCAGGCGGTGCCCCAGTCGCTGGCTCTGCGGGCCGCGTGGCGCCGTGGGCTGCGCTGCTATTGGGCGCTGCCGCGCCGGGCGCAAGCGGCCATCCGCGCTGTCGGCCGCGGCCATGGTGCACGCCGGCCTTCCAGCGCCCACTCGTGAGCAGGAGCGCCTGCTGTGGGTGGAGGCGTCTTCCGCGCGGAGGGCGTGAGTGCGGGTACCTCCTCCTCCTCCTCCTCCTCCTCCTCCTCCTTCTCCTCCTCCTCCCTACATCAGGGAGCAATTCAAAATTCCCGTTGGGGAAAAAACTTGGCCATGCGCGGGATTGCCTTCTGTCAGGCGCGGCGGGGGGCGAACTCTTTATCCGCAGCGCCACCCCTGCCAATAATCCTTAACCCGTCGCGACGTTATCCATGCCAGTGTCATCATGTTACATTTGATTCCATCTTGGGTGACGGGTGCGTCCATGTTCTTCCCTGTGTGTATTGTCACGTGCGCTGGAGTACCTGGCGCGTCGGCGCGCTTCGCGCACATGACGCACCTCGCACCAGGCGCGCCTGGAGCACGTGGCACGCACGGTATGTGTGACGGTTCTGGCGCACCCGGCGCGCATATTGTGCGTTTGGGCACCTGCGCAGTTGGCGCGCGTGGCACACGTTAGGTTCGTGGCGTTCCTTGCGAGTGTGGCGTACCTTGCAGTGACTTTGGTTGCACATGCCTGCCCCTCGGATCCCGTCCCCTGCCTATTGGGGCCTTCTTGGGCCTGTTGAGGGTTGCTCTGGAGGCCATTCTGGCCTTCTGCGACGAACTGTGGTCACTTCACCGGTGACAACAGTCGAGCCTGGTGGGTCTGCATCGCCGGCGACGAGGGCGAGGAGGGTGTTTTTTGTCCCGTCGGTGTTTGTAGACTTCCCGCGGCCCTCCCCCACTACAAAAGTAGCACCCGAGACCGAGGTTCCCCAAGACCGCGCGCAGAAAAGCTTGAGGCACCTGGGGCCATGATCTTTTCCGGCAACTTCCAAGCGATTCGTAACAATCGAGGAATGGTGCTTGGGCGCCCTGCCTTCGCGTCCAGGGCCGCCCCTGGCGCAATCCGCGCGCCACGGAGGGGGCCCAATCCCGATCCAAGATATCCGCGCGGAACTCCGAGAAATTATGTTTATACCTTGGTTTGCCCCTCCAAAGCAACCGCCACCTTCTGCCTCCTCCTTCGTGGGCGTCTTGAGTGCAATCCCTGCCCTAGCGCGCGTTGCCTCCAATCGCGCGCGTTCCTGCCCGCTCTCCGCGGGGCCCGGTCGGGATGCCCGCGTTCCCCCGCCGGGTGGAGAAGGAGGTCCACGAGTGTGGGCGCACTCTGGACTGCCTGGACGCCGGCATCTACATCCCGCAGGAGAAGATCGAAGAGCCAAAAGTTGCATCAACATCAGCCCCTGAGATCCGGAGTTGCAGAGACAATGCAACATGTCAACAAAAAACACGAGCGGACCCCCAGACCCCATCGTTCATTGACATTTCTCGAGCCTGATGGATGTGTGGAGGGCCCCGGGTCCCGAAATGGAGCACAAACGCCCGGCTCGAAAAAATGGAGTCGCCAGGACCTAAGGGAACCTCAACGTTCGGAGCTCCGCGCGAATTCCTCGGATCGACGCCGGGCCTTTGATGTTCCAACCTACTTTAGCCTTGAAACTTGAGAGTTCTCACGTGTCGGGCACTGGGAGGCGATCTTCGCTCAACACTGTTTCGATACGATCCTGGGTGCTCGAACTTACTTCTGGGATGTGTCCGAGGCGGGAATTTATCCACAGCCTGGAGGGTCAGTTTTCGGAGCCTCGGCAGGCGGTGGACATGGACATATGGGGGCCGAAATATATCCACATATCCGCCGCCCGCTGGGGCACCAGGGCGTCGGCTCCCGGGCGGTGGACCTGGAGAAATCCCCGCCTCGCCATGTGGTCCTCGAGTGCGATGGGAGCCACACGCCGATGGGCTCCCCCCTCCCTTGGCGGCGCTCCGGCGCCGGCGCCGCCTCTGGCGCGCGCTCCGCGCGCCCGGGGAGGGGGCGGTGCCCTCCGCGCCTGCGGCCGCCCCTGGTGCGCGCTCCGGCGGCGGAGAGCGCGGCCAGCAGGGGGGAGGGCCCAGCGCCGGTGCGAGCCGGGGGGGCCCAGAAATGTGCAGCACCACCACCTCCCTCCCTGCCCTCCCTCTCCCAGGGAGGAGGAGAGAGGAAGAGGAGGGTAGAGGAGAGATGAGGAATCGACGTGGTGGTGGTGGTGGTGTATATGCTTTAGGTCCCCAGAAATGTGCACCACCACCACCTCCTTCACTGCCCTCCCTCTCCCAGGGAGGAGGAGAGAGGAAGAGGAGGGTAGAGGAGAGAGGAGGAATCGACGTGGTGGTGGTGTATATGAATTGGGTCCCCAGAAATGTGCACCACCACCACCACCTCCCTCACTGCCCTCCCTCTCCCAGGGGAAGAGGAACGGAAGAGGGGGGTAGAGGAGAGAGGAGGAATCGGCGTGGTGGTGGTGGTGTATATCCTTTGGGCCCCCACGAGAGATCCGCAGAGCTTCGAGAAGCGATGTTCGAGCCGTGCTCGTGATTCTCTGGGCAGAAGGAACAGAAATTTCTAGGCTTCCCAGAGGGGGTCGGAGCAGATGGGGTCGGAGGGTAACGTCGCATCGCCGATGCATCGCCGATGCGGCTCGGTGTGGAGCCCGTTTTTCCCCACGCTGGCGTCGCCGATGCATCGCCGACGTCGCCGATGCATCAGCGATGCATCGCCGATACATCGCCGATGCATCGCCAATGTATCGGCGATGCGGCGCGATCCTCTGACCCCATCTACTCGGACCCCATCTGTGAGGCTCTGAAAAAAAGGCAGACCGAGACCTATGTTGTTCCCTTTGAGAGCAGCAGATCGACTTGACAATTGATGTACTCCAACCGTGCTTTTCGTCGACTCCGTGAAGCACGTCTCGTTTTTTGTAGTTCCGAAGAAAAATTGATCATGGGGTAAACCACTTCTGTAGCCGATCCTCTACTCAATCCTTCGGTATTCGCCGCGGCCTGCTTGGTATCCGAGCCGTAGGCTGGGCCGGTCGCCGCAGTGGCCCGCGGTGCGCGGAGGGGGCCGCGCCTGGGCACGCGAGCTGCCAGCGCCGCACCGCACGCAGCGGCCGACGCGCGGCGCACCAGAGGTGCCTTTCTGACCAGGGCCATTCTTGGCGTGCGGCCGACTTCGCCCCCCCCCCCCCTCGATTGTTACGACGATTTCGCTACACTTATCTGCGTGGCAAGGGACCAGAGGGCGTTACGACAAATTGTTGTGCACGTTTTCTCGTTCGTATTATGGAGGCAGCAGCGGCGTAAACTCCTTGGCCCAGAGCGCTTAGCACGCGAGGCCACTTCTGGGTTTGCAGAGTCCCAGGGGGCGAAACCACAGCCTTGGCACGAAACACCCATGCTTCAGTAAGAAAGGTGCATCCATTATTATCATCATCATCATCATCATCATCATCATCATCATCATCATCATCAACATCAACATCATCATCATCATCATCATCATGATCATCAGCATCAGCATCAGCATCAGCAACATCATCATCATCATCACCATCACCATCATCATCATCATCATCATCATCATCATCATCATCATCATCATCATCATCATCATCATCATCATCATCACCATCACCATCACCATCACCATCACCATCAAAATTACCATCACCATCATCATCATTATCATCATCATCATCAGTATCATCAAGGTCATCATCATCATCGTCATCATCATCATCATCATCATCATCATCAGCATCATCATCCCCTCCAGGAGTACGCCGGCAGGCCATGGGCACCGGCTCTCCTCGTGGACGCGCGGGCGGGGGCTGGCGGTGCAGACCCGATGCCGCCGCACCTGCTGCAGGTCGGCTTCGACGCCGCCTACCCGATGGTCCCTCCGATACTGCGCGCCGTGACGCCCATGCAGCACCTCGAGGAAGAGAGCTCTGCAGCATAACCTTTCGGAGCTTCGCGCGGATCTTTTCAGATCGGCCCGCGCTGGGTCGCCCACCCTTTCGCGCGGAGCGCGGCAGGGGTGGCGCCGGAGGCGCCGCCGTGGTGGGGGCCCGGGCGCCCATCCAAGAGATCCGCGCGGAGCGGCGAAAGCTTCGTGTATGTTCGCCTGGTTGTGTCTTCCTCGAGCACCCTCTGGCCGCAGACGACGGCAGCATCGACACCAGCTTCCTGGGCGACTGGGTGCCGTGCATGCGGCTGCCTGCGGTGCTGATCGCCCTGCAGGGCCGGCTGGCGCAGGGCGAGCGGGGGCTGCAGCGCCACGCTCCGGGGCGGGGCGCGCCTGAGGATGGGGGTCGGAAAGCCCAGACCCCCTCGTGTCATGTAAAACATCATGGCGGGAGATGTTTCGCTTTTTGTTGGCCTCTGGGGGCCCTCACCAGGCCTCGGGGCCATCAAAAAACGACTCAGGATATGAGAAGCTGGTCCCGGGGAATGGGTCGAGACATCCAGCTTTTTACGTTAGGAAAAATCACAACGTCGGGCGTGTGGGAGAGGACTGCATATGGGTATTGGTGCGGGTTGTCAGACCCAGGCGGAGGCTCCCTTTCGAGCGGGGACCCCCATCCGACAGCACGCATTCGAGCGGGGACCCCCAAGTACTGATATGTATATATATATATATATATATACATATATATGTATATATATATATATAGATGACTGCATTTGCGCTGCGAGCCATGCGCCTTGGTCCTTTGAGTTCTGCACGCAAGCGGAATGCGTGCGTGCGCACATGCGCGCATGCATGTATACACGCGCACGTGCATGCACGTTCCGTATGAATGTCTAGGTGTATAAAATATACTTACATTGTTGTATGTAGCGTACAAGTGTACATGTAAATGTATGTGTGTAAGGGTATGAACATGCATATGCACATCGTACGGGGTATCCTCGGGCATCTTCACTGCATGCCACGAGACCCTCAACGACTGGGTCACAATGTGAAATTCCATGGGAGCAGAATCAATGAATATTGGCATTCGGAAACATCGTGGGGGTGTTTTCGGGGCCCTCGTGGGCCGTTTTGGCGCCTTCATGGGCCGTCCTGGGGCCTTCTTGGGCCGTCTTGGGGAGCTTGGGCCCGCTGGAGCCCCCTTTGGACCCATCTTGGGCACTTCCGGGGACCTCCCATGGCCCTTTTGGGTCTGTGCTGGGAGCCCTTGGGGGGCCTCTTGGTTCCATTATGGGCTGTCTTGGGGCTCTCGTGGGCGATCGTGGGGCCCGGCTCGGCCGTCTTGAAGCTTTCTAGGGGGCCTTTTGGAGCGTCTTGAGGCGATCTCGGGGGCTTTGAAACCGTCTTGAAAGCTGATGAAATCCGAAAGGCGAATATGCTAAATTTTAAGTTTTACGAAGGGCATGGGACGATTTTTGTAGTTTGAAGGCCCCTTGGAAAGCTTTTTGGGGTGCCTTGGGGGTCTTTATGTTGGCATTCGGAAACATCGTGGGGGTGTTTTCGGGGCCCTCGTGGGCCGTTTGGCGCCTTCATGGGCCGTCCTGGGGCCTTCTTGGGCCGTCTTGGGGAGCTTGGGCCCGCTGGAGCCCCCTTTGGACCCATCTTGGGCACTTCCGGGGACCTCCCATGGCCCTTTTGGGTCTGTGCTGGGAGCCCTTGGGGGGCCTCTTGGTTCCATTATGGGCTGTCTTGGGGCTCTCGTGGGCGATCGTGGGGCCCGGCTCGGCCGTCTTGAAGCTTTCTTGGGGGCCTTTTGGGGCGTCTGGAGGCGATCTCGGGGGCTTTGAAACCCTCTTGAAAGCATCCGGAAGGCGAATATGCTAAATGTTCAAGTTTTACGAAGGGCATGGACGATTTTTGTAGTTTGAAGGCCCCTTGGAAAGCTTTTTGGGGTGCCTTGGGGGTCTTTATGCTGGCATTCGGAAACATCGTGGGGGTGTTTTCGGAGCCCTCGTGGGCCGTTTTGGCGCCTTCATGGGCCGTCCTGGGGCCTTCTTGGGCCGTCTTGGGGAGCTTGGGCCCGCTGGAGCTCCCTTTGGACCCATCTTGGGCACTTCCGGGGACCTCCCATGGCCCTTTTGGGTCTGTACTGGCAGCCCTTGGGGGGCCTCTTGGTTTCATTATGGGCTGTCTTGGGGCTCTCGTGGGCGATCGTGGGGCCCGGCTCGGCCGTCTTGAAGCTTTCTTGGGGCCTTTTGGGGCGTCTGGAGGCGATCTCGGGGGCTTTGAAACCCTCTTGAAAGCTGATGAAATCCGAAAGGCGAATATGCTAAACTTGTAAGTTTTACGAAGGGCATGGGACGATTTTTGTAGTTTGAAGGCCCTTTGGAAAGCTTTTTGGGGTGCCTTGGGGGTCTTCTGGGCCGTCCTGACACAATTGGAGTCCCTCTTGGAGCGCTCTTGTGCTGTCTGGGGCCTCCCTTGAGCCTTTCTGATGACCCCTCGGATCGCAATGGGTCTGCTGGCAAGGCGTTTGTGGAGACCCGGAAAGCCGGGTGACCTTGTCCAAGGACGTCCAAGGGAGACCGAGAACCACAGATCCCGGGGGTCCAGTTTTTTTTGGGGGGGGAGGGTTTCCCCCCTCCCCGGCTTTTGAAAATACTGGAAGAGGAACATATGTATATGTGCACACATTGTTTGGGGGAAATCCTGGAGCTTGTATGGATGTCTTCGTGTCCCCCTTGGCCCCTCGACTTTTTCGCTGCCCTGGAGGCGGCGGAGGCGCTGGAGCTGCTGCTGCGGGCCGCCGAGGAGGCCCGGGACCGGGACGCTCCCGAGGCGTGGCGGTTCCTGCACGGCCTGCGGGGGCTGCTGTCAGAGGCCGCGCGCGCGGAGATCGGAGGGTGCCCAACGCCGACGGCACGCAGGAGTGGCCCTTCGCTGGAGCGACCTCTGGTGCGGGCCCACTCGGGTCCTACGCTCGCCGAGCGCGAGGCGGCAGTGGCATCTTGCGCGCTTGTGCTGGGCCCTCCAATTTGCGCCCTGTCTCCCCAATTAGGGCTTCGCGCGCCCCGCTTAACTCTTAACCGGAAGGGGCCCGCTCCCGACCCACCGACCAAAAAGTGTTTGGCCCCCAAAGAGCCGCGCACCAAAGGTCAGTCCTGCCCTGGGTCACACTTGCGTGTCGCCGACAGCTGCACACATACACACACACACACATACATCACCGAACCATGGCCCCACTGCGATCAACGCTGGGGCTGTCGAGGCGGGTGAGAGGCGGATGCTGAGGTGGGGTATGTTTGACCTAGCCTGTCTAATATGCGGGTTGCAGGCGCCCTGTGAGCTCCACACACTTCGAGGAGTTATCTTATCACCCGTAACTCCCTTAGCACCAACCTGTAATGCCCCAATTTCCTTAGCAACCCCCGCGCGGATCCGAGCAGACACCCCCGCCTCGATATCAAACTCACGGCGGATGTTTTCTGTTGCAAGTTTCGGCCTCCGTGTCCCTCGCTGGGCGCCAGGCCGTCGAAATCGAAAAACTACTCAGGATGAGAACGCCTGTCAAGGGGAAATGAGTCGAGACTTTTGGGTCGGGGGCGGCCAAGAGGAGGGTGATGACTGGGGGTGGGGGGATATTAAGGCCAGGGCCACGAGATCTCCCCAGATTTCATGGCCCCCCTCCTTAGAAGGCTAAGGCCTTACGGCCAGTGCCGCCGACCCTGGAGGCCTCTGCCGTCTTGGGTGTTTGTTGTGCTCTCCCGACATGCGCCGGGAGGGTGATTTCCTGACCCGGGACCACCCCCCGGGACCGAAGGGATGAAAGGGAAGGGGCTCCCCTTCGACTCAATGACAGCGTTGCTGCATTTCGCTGCGGATGGGCTAATGTATCGGGAAGTAGACAAGGTGACAACGCCGAAGACCTCTAAAAACGTACCAGAAATCGATGACTTTGCCTTGGAGGCCGTCTTGGAAGTCCTCTTGGAGGCTTCTTGGGGCGTTGTGGAAACCTGTTGTGCCGTCTGGAGGTTACTTTGGCGACTTATACCGATACGTCAGCGATGTGGAACCCTCGAACATTGTCTTGGGGACATTTTGGAGCACTTTTGCCGCGTCCTGCGGCTGTTCTTGGCCGCCGAACCGCCCGAGGGGGACTCGTATTTGCCCTGGGACCCCCAGGACCCCCCTGGGACCCCCCTGGGACCTCCCCTGGGCCCCCCCCCCCGGGACCCCCCCCCCCCTCGGCGGGGAATATAAGGGATCAAATGGAAGGGGCTCCACTTGGACTCCACTGCAACGTTGCTCACTTTCGCTGTGGCAGGCGCGCTCGAGGAGGAGGGCCCGCGACGACGACGACGACAACGACCACGACGACGACGACGACGACGACGACGACGACGACGACGACGACGAAGACGAAGACGAAGACGACGACGACGAGTCAAACGGAACAGCCTCTTCCCCAGACATCTGGCTGCTCCAGTTTTTTGGGTGCGTGGACCCAGGAGGTCTGGACCACTTCCCTGGTCCAGAGACCGAAAACTGCCAAAAACCGCCTCTCAGGGTCCACACGCCGACAGGGCCAGCGGATTTTTACATGGGCTCTGTTCGCCCGTCAGCGCAAAAATCATGTGTTTTACACGGGTTCCTGTCGCCCCTAAGGCTCAGCCATGTGCTTTTGTGCATGGCTTTCTTGCGCTTCCGTGAGCCTCATGTTCCCCAATCAGTGCTGGCACTGAAGGGGCCCTGGCGGAAGTTGAAAGATTTGGCGAAAATTTCCCGCCGATTTTGGTAGCAGGCTGGGTTCCCAGGTTCCCAGTTCCAGGTTCCCGGCTTCCCGGTTATTGGTTCAGGGCCGATTTCGGTGGGTTTTGGGTTCCCGGACTCTCGGGTTCCCGGTCGATCTCCTCAGCGAACACCACCCTCTGATTAGGGTTTTTGTTTGCTGTAATGTTTTTCCAGTTCGTCTTGGTGCAGTTCGTCATGTTTCAGTTCGAAGCAGTTCGGTCTGCCATTCGCCGTGTGTTTCGCGTTCGTTCGAGTTCGCCCCCTCTTTGTCCGTCCAGCTCTGGAGCCGAATCGGATATTGGGCGCGAGCTGGTTGTGCGCCTCGCGCCTTTCGGCTGCAATCAGTTTGAGCTGTGCGTTCGGACAGCTCACAAGAGGTCACATGTCAACGCAGTATGGCACAGTTCAGTTCACCACAGCACAGCACAGCCTCTGACACAGTAAATCACCATCGATACCTTCAGAATTGCAGTTGAACATCGCCGATGTTCTGCGTCTTGAAAACGTACTCACGCGTCACATGTCTACATCCCTTTCCAGGTCCGTGGGTCGACCATGTTCCGAGTCTCCGACAAGAAGGTTTCGATTCTGCACGCAGGCTGCGCAAGGTGCTGCATGAAAGGGTGCGCGTGAGTGTGTTGCGGCATTCTGGCATGGCGGCGCTCGAGATCTCGTTCCCGCTGCTCGATCCGGGCCTGTCTCTCCAGGTGAGTCTGTCTCCTCCTTGTTTTTGCTCTTCGGAAGCAGAAGCTGGTCGATCGGGGGCCCACTACAGCAAGCACCCTGTCGAGTGCCAGTGCCGTTTATAGATTCCCTGTTGCCAAGGGGTTGTTGTTCCTGGAAAGGCTTTAGGCCGACGGTTCTTTTCCCGGAAAGGGCGCGGGTCCAGGAATCTCTTTTGGATATTCTGGTAAGCTTGTCCCTCGGTGCCTCGTCGGAAGGAGGCTGGCGGATTTCCCCAGGATAAGCAACAAACTAGGCGAATCCATATGTTCAAAAGACAGCGTCGGTTTCGTGATTGCCGGCTCGTGGACATTGCGCCCCCACCTCGGATCCGCTATCAATGACGTGGTCCGCAGGCCTCCTCTTTCCAGTGTAGCACCAGAGTGCACGGAGCGCTTCCGTAGCCAGTCTGGCTCCAGAGGCCCGAGCTCCTTCTGTGGCCCGAGTCGGGCAGCCAGCCCGCGCCGCCGCTCGCCTGCGAGGCCAGCCGCTGCGCTCCGAGAGGCGAGCATGACCTGCCGCCGCCGCGACCGCCGCGGCGCGGTCGCGGCAGCGGTTGGCGCAGCCCTGGCGGCCAGGTGGTGCGGGCACCTGGCCCCAGCGGCCTTCGCCGGGCCGGCCGCGGCGCCCGCCCCAGGGCGCGGGGCCCCGCTGCGGGCTGCGGCCGCCAGCCCCGGCCGCCAAGCGCAGGCTCCTGCAGCTGGAAGCCCCGGCAGCGTGGAGCGCCAGAGCGGCATCAAGCGCCTATGCTGGGACAAACGCAAGAAGGTGTGGCGCAGTCGGTATTATATACAGAACGGCCCGGATCAAGGTCGCACAACGCAGCCCAGGTTCCACCCGAAGGACGAGTCGCCAGAAGAGGTGGAGCAGGCGCGGCTCGCCGCCGTCGAGGCGCTGCGGCGGCTGGAGGAGGAGGACAGGCTCGGGCAGGTCCGCGCTGGCCCCAGCAGCACTGCGGAGCGCCAGAGCGGCGTCAAGCACATAGTCTGGGACAAACGCATCAAGGCATGGTGCATTCGGTATAGGATACGGAACGGCCCGGATCAAGGTCGCACAACGCAGCCCGTGTTCCGCCCGAAGGACGAGTCGCCAGAAGAGGTGGAGCAGGCGCGGCTCGCCGCCGTCGAGGCGCTGCGGCGGCTGGAGGAGGAGGACAGGCTCGGGCAGGTCCGCGCTGGCAGATCTGGCCCCGCAGAGCGCCAGAGCGGCGTCAAGCACATAGTCTGGGAGAAACGCATGAAGGTATGGCGGGTTCAGTATAGGATACAGAACGGCCCGGATCAAGGTCGCACAACGCAGCCCAGGTTCCGCCCGAAGGACGAGTCGCCAGAAGAGGTGGAGCAGGCGCGGCTCGCCGCCGTCGAGGCGCTGCGGCGGCTGGAGGAGGAGGACAGGCTCGGGCAGGTCCGCGCTGGCAGATCTGGCCCCGCAGAGCGCCAGACTCAGAGCGGCGTCAAGCACATAGTCTGGAAGGACCGCAAGGCAGCTTGGTGCATTACGTATGCGATACGGAACGGCCCGGATCAAGGTCGCACAACGCAGCCCAGGTTCCGCCCGAAGGACGAGTCGCCAGAAGAGGTGGAGCAGGCGCGGCTCGCCGCCGTCGAGGCGCTGCGGCGGCTGGAGGAGGAGGACAGGCTCGGGCAGGTCCGCGCTGGCAGATCTGGCCCCGCAGAGCGCCAGAGCGGCGTCAAGCACATAGTCTGGGACAAACGCATCAAGGCATGGTGCATTCGGTATAGGATACAGAACGGCCCGGATCAAGGTCGCACAACGCAGCCCAGGTTCCGCCCGAAGGACGAGTCGCCAGAAGAGGTGGAGCAGGCGCGGCTCGCCGCCGTCGAGGCGCTGCGGCGGCTGGAGGAGGAGGACAGGCTCGGGCAGGTCCGCGCTGGCAGATCTGGCCCCGCAGAGCGCCAGAGCGGCGTCAAGCACATAGTCTGAAGAAACGCAAGGCAGCTTGGTGCATTACGTATGCGATACGGAACGGCCCTGATCAAGGTGTCAGAAAGCAGCTCACCTTCCGCCCGAAAGACGAGTCGCCAGAGGAGGTGGAACGGGCGCGGCTCGCCGCGGTCGAGGCGCTGCGGCGGCTCGAAGAAAAGGACCGCGCCCTCGAGCCGAGCGGCTCGGGCGGGCCCTGAGCCGGCCGCGGCCGCCAGGAGGTGCCGCTTCTCGACGGGCTGTTTCTGGTGGGCACTCCGACGCCCACGCAATCCGCACAGAGTTCGACCCTGAGCCGATCGCCTACGACGCCCTCCTCACCCACTATGGCCGCACACGTGAGCGCACGCCAGCGCCAGTGGGCGTGAAGCAGTGCTACGATACGCAGTGCCACCATACGCAGTACTGCTGTACGCAGTTCTGCTCGGCAGTCTGGTAACACTATTATGCAGTACTGGCCGGCAGTGTGGCACCACGATTAGGAACAATAGAGAGGCTCTGCAAGCACGCCCCAGCCAAGGCGCCCCCGACGTCCACGCCGCGCGCATAGAGGATAGACACGACGCGGCGAGGCACCACCCGAAGATCTAATTACCGCTCCCCACGGTTCGATGGCGAATCAGTCCGTATCCGCGCCCTTTGGGCCGCGACCCCGCGGAGACGGGGGCATTTTTTTCCGCGGATGCCCCGCGCGGAACGTACCCGTGCGACTGCACATACGCGGGACCGCGCCCCGGAGTCCAGACCGCGAGGGCGCGGATACGGATCTGCTCGCCGCTCGTGTATGGTGGCATGTCTTGACTACCCGTTCCCAGACATGCGAGGTCCTGATTGTGAAGTCCTGACGGCCTGTGCCGCCGACCCAGAACATCGACGACGACGACGACGACAACGACGACGACCACGACGACAAAACGACAACGGCGAGCTGATGACCCTGCCACAAGCTCGGGTCATGGAGCGGGCGGTGGAGGGAGGAGGAGGAGGAGGAAGAAGAGGAGGAGGAAGAGGAGGAGGAAGAGGAGGAAGATGATGATGATGATGAGGAGGAGGAGGAGGAGGAGGAGGAAAAGGAGGAGGAGGAGGCGGAGGAGGAGGAGGATGATTTTAGAGGAAGAGGAGGAGGAGGAGGAGGAGGAGGAGGAGGAGGAGGAGGAGGAGGAGGAGGAGGAGGAGGAGGAGGGGGAGGTAGAGGAGAAAGGAGAAGGAGAAGGAGGAGGAGGAGCAGGAGGAGGAGGAGGAAGAGGAGGAGAAGGAGGAGCAGGAGGAGGAGGAGGAGGAGAGAAAAGTAAGGGGCAGAAGACAGTACCTTCTCTCTCTCTCTCGCCTTTACCTTTTCAGGTCGGTCTTGAGCTGCGCTCACTCGTAGGTGCGCGCTAGTGTGTCCTGCTCGACTGGGCCTCGTCATGCGATGCGAGGAGGAGGAGGAGGAGGAGGAGGAGGAGGAGGAGGAGGAGGAGGAGGAGGAGGGGGGGGAGGAGGAGGAGGGAGGAGGAGGAGGAGGAGGAGGAGGAGTGAGGAGGAGGAGGAGGAGGAGGAGGAGGAGGAGGAGGAGGAGGAGGAGGATAGGAGGAGGAGGAGGAGGAGGAGGAGGAGGAGGAGGAGGAGGAGGAGGACGAGAAGGAGGAGGAGGAGGAGGAGGAGGAGGAGGAGGAGGAGGAGGAGAGCCGTGTGTCTTCTCGGGGGCGGGCGTCTTGGAGGCGACGGGGCTGGGGCCGGGGCTGGGGCCGCGGCGGGGGACGCGGCCAGGGCCGCGGCCGGGACCGGGGCCGGAGCCAAGGCCGAGGCCGAGGCTGGGGGCCTCAGGCCAGGAACGGGGCTGGAGCGGGGGCCAAGGCGGGGACAGGGGTGGGGGTCCTGAGGGAGACGGGGGAGTCGCATCTGCCCCGGGACCCCCCGGGCCTCCCCCCCTGGACCCCCCCCTAAGGACCCCCCCCGGGACCCTTCGACTCAACTACAACGTCGCAACGTTGCCAAACTACGAGTCAAACGGAACAGCCTCTTCCACACGCCGACAGGGTCGGCGGACTTCAACACGTTCCCTGCCCCCCCTGGTCTGCGCACATGCCTCGGGTCATTTTGTGCACCCCCCCCCGCCCCTCTTGGGCGCCCCTTTTGGGCGCCCTCGACTGGGGGCCGACGCTGCGAAAGAGTCAGAACATCGGGGGTCCGGGGCGAGGCGCGTCCTGGGCACCGAAGCGGTGTTACGTACGCAGTCCTTGCCAAGCCAGGGAGGGCCAGGTCACCCCCAGGTGGCGCGAAGATTCAGGAGGGGAAAAAACACACAGACACAATTAATCGTCGATTTCCCAGAAGAAATGAGAAAATATGGGAAGCGAGGGGGGAGACAAACACGCAGAAAATATAGGAAAAGATTGGGAATAGTTTCATTTGTGTGTATTTATTTGTGTGTCTCTTGGCCCCTTCATTCCTTGCCAAGCCAGGGAGGGCGAGGTCACCCCTAGGTGGCGCGAAGGTGATCGCCTTTCGTCGCCGCTTGGGTTGGAGGGGCGCCCTCTCCCGTCTGAAGGCGGCGCGAGGGTGCGAAGGCAACCGCGCGCCGCGGATCTCGGGGCGCGATGCGCAATGTTGGGTAGCCCAGGAAGGGCGTGCACACCGATCCTGGTCGAATGATGGGCCTGCCCTGGGATCCGAGATGATGCGAGGTTATACAAGAAGGAGAAGTAAGACCAGTGTCCTTGATCGTTTTTTTAATCATTGTTTCGCCGATCGGTGCGGGCCCTCGCCCTCCCCCCCCCTCCCCCCCCTCTGGAGTAGATCTTGGCTGCCTTTGGCGCCCGTTTCAAGCAGGTGGAGCCTCCCCCTATAGGACGCACTGCTGCAAGCAGTCGCGCGAAGCAGAGGTCTGGAGCCAGACCCCCCCCCCTCCCCCCCCCCGTCCGCCCACTGCCGCAGCGCCGAAAAAAAAAAATGCTCCCCGATCTCAGGAGGGGAAACAAAAACACACAGACACAATTAGTCGTCGATTCCCAGAAAATATGGGAGAATATGGGAAGTGGGGGGAAGAAAAAAACCCAGAAGACATGGGAAACTATGGGGAACCTTTTTAATTTGTGTGTATTTGTTTGTGTGTCCTCGGGCCCCCTGAGAAGTCGCTCAGAATCGCTCCCCGATCCTCCGCCTGCTGCACGTCTCGAGCCGGCGGGTCGATCCGCGAGGGCCCCGAGGGGCCCGGAGCGAGGCAACAACATCGCCCGCCGCGGCAGAAGGCGGCGCCGGGCTCTCGGGACACGCCTTGGGTTAGGCTTACGTCGGGCGTGTCCCCCTACAGGGGGATTTCCGACGAAAAATAAGACATACCCCAAACATGCCCCAAAAAGGTTAAAAAAATACTAACAACTAGTCCCCGGACTATGTTTGGATCATGTTTGGATAATTTTTGGCGTATTTTTTCTTGGTCGTTGAAAATCCCCCTGTAGGGGGACAGGCCCGACTGAAGGTTAGGCCCATGCCAAGAAACACCCTGCTCGCCTCCAGGTTGCCTCGGGTTTCGTGGTTTTCGATGGCTCTGCCACGGGACGCGTGACGTTTTCACACCAGGAATCAGTGGACGTCCTAGGGTCTCAGGGTTGGGTTTCTTGTGGGAGGTCTCTTGTGGACTGGCCTCCCCTATATGCTTTTCGGGTCCTACTCTGAGTGCCTCGATAGTTCTGGGGTGACAAAGAGTCTGGCGGGGGGGCCCTGTAGTTCAGAGGGGGGGCCCTGTAGTCAGGGGGGGGTGTCCTTGTAGTCTGAGGGAGGGGGGGCCTTGTAGTCCAGGCGGGGAGCCCTTGTAGTCTGGGGGGGGCCCCTGTAGTCCGGGGGGACGGCCCTTGTAGTCCAGGGGAGGGGCCCCTGTAGGCTGGGGGGCCCCTGTAGCCCGAGGGCCCACAAACTATTGAGGCATACTCGGAGTAGCTCAGGTCTCCGGCGGCAGTTCGGGACGGTCCGGGCCATCCCTCGGCGAGACGCAGTTGTTGGAGAGCATCCCGAGGTTGGAAAGCCACCGACAAGCAGTGAAAGCGTGTGAAATTCCGAACCTCGAAGCCTACCTTCGGACGGGGCTAGGACCAGGATAAGTCCGTTCCAGAGCGTTCTGGAACGCGTTCCGAGCGTTTTGGAACGCTCTCAGAAGGCCTTGGCGCCCGAGACATCCTCCGAAGCGGCCGGATCTCAGAGATTTTGGATGTATCCTCACCCGATTTGGTCCTCGCCCTGGCCTCGCTTTCTTGCCTCCGAAGCTGGCAGCCCTCCCAGGAGGCGCTGCTGGGGCCCCACTGGGGCGACCTGCGCGCGCTGCTCGCCGCGCGGTGCGGGCGCCGCGATGACGCGCGCTGGGCGGCCGAGGCGGCAGCGCTGCGGCGCCTGCTGCGCCCGCTGCTGGAGCCGCGGCTTGTGGTCGAGGTCCTCGAGGTCGGCGTCGACGTCCGAAGCCTGCCCTCGCCCATCCACGACTCGGGCAATTTGATGGGCGGCGGGGGTAGCCTCGAGATCCTGGCGACCCAGTTTTCGAGCCAAGCGTTTTCGCTGCATTTCGCGCCCCGGGGCCCTCACCGATCGATCCTGCTCGAAAAGGGTCTGGTCTGGTCCGGGGGTCTGGCCTGGTTTGCAACGTCGGATCTCTGGCAGTATACGGCTCGGAGTTCGTCCAGCGCGTGGAGAAAGCCGAGCACTGCCCCCGCCTCTCGATTTAAGAAAATCCATGCTTGACGGGGGTGGAGCTCGGATGTCGCGCCCTACGAGGCCGCCCACCGCTCGGGCCGGGGCATGGGCCCGCTGCACCAAGGCTGCCGGCTGCACGCAAACGGGTGGCCCGCCCCTTCGAGGTTTGCGCCTCGCCGGGGCGCTCTGCGGGGGGCCCAGGTCGTCCCGAACGGCCGCTGGGGCCCCGAGTTCTGGGATGACCGCGAAGGTCGCTAAGGGGATAGGGGCTTTAGAAGTGGATGGCGATCTAATTCCTAAGCAGGTTACAGCTGGCCTAACCTGCCATAGAAGTAGGTAACAGGTGCCCTAACCTGTTGCGGCGGATTGCTTACTCTGCCAAGGGTGTGGAGCCCACGAAGACAGGTTGAATTCAGATATCAATAACCCACTTTAGAGTCTGCGTCTAAGCCCTTTATCCCCTCAGCAGCCGACGTGGTCATGTCAGCTATGACCCGAAATCTGGCAGAACCTTGAGATCCTGGGCGGCATTTGCCATGCTTCGGGCCCCTGGTACCTCACGGATAGGTCCGGCTCGAGAAATGCCGCAGGAGGATGGGGTCCAGGGCTCGGCAATTGTTTTAACGATGTTGTTGGGTACCACACGGATAGATAAGGCTCGACAAATGCCGCAGGAGGATGGGGTCCAGGGCTCGGCCGTGTTTTACACGATGTTATTGGGTACCTCACGGATAGGTCCGGCTCGAGAAATGCAACAGGAAGAGGGGGTCCAGAGCTCGGCAGTTTTTGTTTAACGATGTTCTTATTGCTGCTGCTGTTGATGGTGTTGTTGTTGTTGTTGTTGTTGTTGTCGTCGTTGTTGTTGTTGTTGTTGTTGTTGTTGTTGTTGTTGTTGTTGTTGTTGTTGTTGTTGTTGTTGTTGTTGTTGTTGTTGTTGTTGTTGTCGTCGTCGTCGTCGTCGTTGTTGTTGTTGTTGTTGTTGTTGTTGTTAGTGTTGTTGTTGTTGTTGCTGCTGCTGTTGTTGTAAGTGTTGTTGTTGCTGCTGTTGTTGTTGTTGGTGTTGTTGTCGTTGTTGTTGTGGTTGTTGTTGTTGGTGGTGTTGTTGTTGCTGCTGCTGTTTTTGTGGTTGATGTCGTTGTTGGTGTTGTTGTTGTTGATGGTGGTGGTGATGGTGTTGTTCTCTCAGTCCTAAAGAATAGCTGTTAAAGTGTTGCCCCTGGTAAAACATGTGTTTTTCAATTGGAGTGCCCCTCCTGGGGCTCGCACCCTGTTAGTTATTATAGAACATGTTCCTCCTTAAACTGCGCCCCTGGCTTCCCGAATACAACAACGGCCCACGCTTTCTTCCTCTTCTCAATATATTCCCAAATCGCGTTCTCGCGCGGGACTTCCTCACAAGTTTTTCCGGAATCGCGCTCTTGCGTGGGACGTCCTGGCAATTTATTCAGACGCTGCGCTCTCGACACTCAGGAATCACGCTCTCGCTTTGGCCTTTCTCGCGATTTACTTGGGAATCGCGCCATCGCTCGAGACTCCTCGCGATTCATGCAGGACTCTCGCTTCAGCAACCCGCCTGCTCGACCTGGCCACCGACCCGCCCGTTAGGATCTACCCTCACGATCAGCCCGTCTCGTTCTGCCACGTGCTTCCTGCTCCTAGCCCCCCTCCTGCTAATGTCTCTCGTGCTTCATCATTATATCTCCCCCTTCTATCCGTCCTCTCTTCCCCTGTTTGAAGGGCTGCGCAATTACACGTGGCAGGTAAGGATTATATCCCCCAAGGGAGTGACGAAGAGGGCGGGTGTTGTGGGTTTGGGATATATGTGTTGACTGGCACACGAGCAGGTAAGATCGAACAGTCTTAAACTGATAGTTGTTGTTGTTGTTGTTGAAGTTGTTGCCGTTGATGTTGTTGGTGATGTTACGGTTGTTGTGGTTGATGTTGTTGTTGGGGATGATTGTGTTGATGATGATGATGCTGATGATGATGATGATGATGATGATGATGATGATGATGATGATGATGATGATGATGATGATGGTGGTGGTGGTGGTGGTGGTGGTGGTGGTTGTGGTGTTGCTGTGTTTCTTGTGTGACGTCAGATCTCTAGTTTGCTTTACCCCTGCTCGGCATCCCCCGAAGCATGGTCCTGCGGCGCGCGCGCTCGCAGAGACTCCTGCAGGATGCGCTCTGTGGCGTGCGGGCTGTGGCCAGACCGCCCGGGTCCCCACCGAGAAGACTGAATGCTGTACCCGAGAACCCCTCGGGGGGCGAGCAAAGGCCCCGGTGGCGCGCGTGGTCTACAACATTCCCTCCCCGGGGCGCGGTTCTTCGTGTACCCACAGTGGCCCCGGGCGGTGTAATCCGACTGTGGCGGGGAGGGTGTGGCACACAATCTGCTATGAGGTGCTTGTGCTGAATGTTCGGTTCGGACGCGCGCCTCCGAGGGGAGGCGTGCGACCCACGAGTCCTCGGACGCGCGCCTCCGAGGACTCGTAGGTCCTCCTGCGTCCCATGTGCCACACCGCCCCAGACCTCGGGAGGTCTTCGATCCCTTCGTTTGTCCTCGCTTTCGGCCTCTTGGGGGGCCGCTATCGGGCCCATGATCATCAAAAACGGATCTGGGACGCAAAACTGCCCCTGGAGAACGGTTCGGGAGCTGCGGGGCCCCAGGTTGACAAAATCAGATCGGAGGACTTCAGGGCCCAAGCGGCGCAAGGCTTTTGGCAGTTTCGGGCCTCCGCGAGGGCCTGGGCCGTCATGCAGGCCGTCAGGCAACGCCTCGGGATGCAACACCGGCCCCGGGGGAAGGGGTCGGAACATTCGGGGGTCCACGTTTCGAGCAAATGTCATGATGTCGAAGTTTTGGTGATCGAGCAGCCCTGCGACAGTGCCCCTGTGGTGCGGGTCCTCCTCCTCCTCCTCCTCCTCCTTCCTCTCCTCTTCCCTCTCACCCTTCCCCTCCTCCTCCTCCTCCTCCTCTTCCTCCTCCTCCTCCGACCAGGGTCCCCCGATCGCCGAGTGCGATGCGACAACAGCGGCTTGTGCGCCCTGGTTTGCCGCCCTTCCCCCCTCCCCAGACCCCCGACGTCGTGATTGTTTCGCAGCGCGGGTCTCCAGAGGTCTCGACCAATGCCTTGGGACCGGCTGTTTATCCCGTGTTGTTTTGGCGACCCCATGGCCGGCGAGGGCCCCCAGAGGACGAAAACAGGAAAAAGACACCTTCGGTCTTGATGTTTTTGGCGACGCAAAGAGGTTTTGGGCCCCGCGCTCCACCCTCCACCCAGCCGCCTACCCAGAGGCCTACCTAGAGGCCACTCTCTCGCCCATAGGGCCGCTCTTGGCGTGCACGGCCGAGGCTGGCTCTTGGTCCGGCAGTTCCTGGCTGACGTGCCGGAGCCGCAGCCGGCGCCGCTGCGCGGGGGGCGGGCGCCGCCGGCGGCGACATCCAGGGCGCTGCTGGGGGGGGCCTGAGCCGCAGCCCGGGCAGCGCCGCACATAGGCGCCGGCATAGATTTTCGGAGCCGCAGGCCCCCACATGGGCACAGGCACAGACAAGGTATATATTGGGGCTGAGCATAGACTATGCACAGGCTGGGCATCGGCACAGACATAGGCACAAGGCACAGGCGTAGACTGGGCACAGACTAGGCACAGGCATGGCCCGTTGGGGCAGCGCCGCTTCGCCGCATGGCCGAAGATGAAGCAACGCCGCAGGCACAAGCTTTCGGAGTCCTGCGCGGACTTCTAGGATCGGCGCTGCCCCCCCCCCCACCCCCCACCCCTGGCGGCGCCGCCAGGCGCCGCCCCTGGCGCGCTCCGCGAGCAGAAAGGCCCAGCGCCGATCCCGAAAGTCTGCGCGGATCTCCGACAGTTTTTATGCAGTCTTGTTCTCAGGGAAGCATCGGCACAAAAGCACGGCAAGAAACGCTGAGTGTCGCTTCCTATGCCGGCGAGAGTAATCCAGCAGGGATAATAAAGTTCGGGGCCCAGGAAGGAAAATAGTTGTTCCTGGAAATATCGATGTTAGGATGTCTGGATCGGCTTTGACGAGCCTCCATGATGGAGCCTCCCTGATCCTTCTTGAGGGCCTCCCTGGAGATGTGGGAAGAGCACAACTCCTATGACATCCTATGGTGAAGTGGTACACTGGTCCCTCTCGGGGCGCCTCCTTGGAGATGTCGGATGAGCACAACTACTGTGAAGTACGATGGTGAAGTGTTACATTGGATTCTTTCGGGGGGCCTCCGTGGAGGAGAGAGGAGAAGGAGGATGAGGATTTTCAGAACATGTAGAAGTCTCTGACCTATCATACTGCGCCGCTCCGAAAGTTTCCCCAATTTCGCCACCGTGCTCGCCGGGGCCATCTGGGATTGCGCGCGCAGGATGAGACTCGCGGGGTCCGAGGGCGGATGGGGGCGATGTCGCGAGGGCAGAGTCGGCGCGCGGATGGGCAGGCCGGCACCCCGTTTGGCCGGAGGGGCCCAGTACAATGCAAGGGCAGAGCGCAACCCCTGCCCGGGGTCACGGGATCGGGTTCCCTTTCGGAATTCAAAATTTAAAATCCCAAACGGTGTACGGACCCGAGAATGAGCAAACGGCATAGGACCTCCTCGAAAAAACTTTGGGGTTCGGTCATGCGACGACCCGAAAATTTTATCGACCTATCTGAAAGTGGCCAAATCAATGGGACTTGTGCCAACACAAATTCCGGGTCCAGTTCGAACGGCCCGAAAATGTGCGAACCGCCTCGGACTTTTCGCAAAAAAAACATCGATCTCGACGTCTTCGGGTCCACTCCGAGAAACCGAACATGGGCAAACCGCCTAGAACATCCGATGGCAAATGGTTTTTCGGTGGTTCCGGACCTCGTCCGAAGGAGCCGCCGATGGGCCGACCGTGCAGGACTTCCTGCACAAGAAACGGTTTCCCGGGTGAGCCACTGTCAAGCGGGATCGCGCCGCTCGCGGGATCGGGGTTCGCGCGGGGGCGCGGTTGCTCGCGCTTGTCCAGGAGGCGCGCGTCCCCGCGCCTTTCCAGCATCGCGTTTGCTCTGCATTCGCGCGGCGCCCCTTCTATCAAATCGGAATAAACTTTCGGAACGCCGATGTATTCTATGTGCAAGAACTGAACGACCCGTGGTGGTTGTCAAAGCGTCGTGTAGGACTACTCTTGGCCGTTGCCTTTTCGGAGATGATCAACGCCTGGGATAAGATCGTCCTGGCGAAGGACTCAACCATGTGCAGTTGTGAGTATCGCAGTTGTGGGTATCGTCCTCGGTGAACCTTTCTCTCTCTGGTGCCACGCCGCGTGTGACTGGTGTGCCAACACACGGTTTCTTACGCCATGCGGACGCTGCCACCAGAGCCGCCGGTGGAGCCCCATGTGAGGCCACGAAACGTGTGAGGGGTGTGCCGACATGCAGGGTGGAACCGCGTGCGGGCGTTACCAATGGGGCCTTCGGTGGAGCTCCCTTTGGGGCCACGAAACGTGTGAAGGTGCGCCGAAATGGAAGTGGATCTGCATGCGGACCCTGCCACTGGGGCATTCGGTGGAGCACCCAGTGGGGCAATGAAACGTGTGAGGGGTGCGCCGAGCTGAAGCTGGAAATGCATGCGGACCCTGCCAGTGGGGCCTTCTGTGGAGCACCTCGTGGGGCCACCGAACGTGTAAGGGGTGCGCCGAAATGGAGGTGGAACTGCATGCGGACTCTGTGATTGGGCCTTCGGCTGAGCTCCTTATGAGGCCACGAAACGTGTGAGGGGTGCGCCGAATTGGAGGTGGAACTGCATGCGGACCCTGCCACTGGGGCCTTCGGCAGAGCACCCTGTGTGGCCTTGGAACTTACGATGGGAGCGCCGCAATGGGGATGGAACTGCATTCGGACCCTGCCTTGGATCGAGCACCCTATGAGGCCACGAAACGTGTAAGGGATGCGCCGACATGAATTTGGAACTGCACGCGGACCCTGCCACTGGGGCCTTCGGTGGAGCACCCTATGGAGCCAGTGGTGTGCCGACATGGAGGTGGAACTGCATGCGGACCCTGCCACTGGGGCCTTCTGCGGAGCACCCTATGAGGCCACGAAACGTTTGAGGATCGTGCCAAAATGGGAGTGGAACCGCATGCGGACCCTGCCGCTGGGGCCTTCCGTGGGGCTTCCTATGGGGCCACGAAGCGTGTGAGGGGTGTGATGAAATGGGAGTGGAACCGCATGCGGACCCTGCCACTGGCGCCTTCGGTTGGGCCCCCTATGGGGCCACGAAACGTGTGAGGAGCGTGCCAGTGCGTCTCACATGACAATGGGGGGCTCGGGACTGTGTGGTTTTCCAAACTCGTTCTGCAGCCGGCCCAGGGGTGGAGGAGGGGCTCCCGTTTCCATCTGCGGATGGGGGCCGGCGGCCGGGGTGGCCTCGGCTGGGTCCTGGGGGGCCTATAGGACGTAGGAGCCGCTTCGTAGGACGAGGGTGCCAATCTGCCAGAGGTGTTGAGCCTGGGCGAAGAGGTCCAGCTCCACCGCTCCCTCCGCGGCTCTGACGCGAGGCGCGGCCGCGCGCTCCCGCGGCTCAGAAGTAGCCCCGGAGAGTGCCCGGGGGGGAGGTGTCGGTGGCTTGGAGGGTGGCGGCCCAGGCCTCCGGCCTCCCGCGCACATGCAGGAAGGGCCCTGCCTTCGAGGGTCGAAGGGGTTGGTGTCTCGCACGCGGCGGAAGGCCGGCGGAAGGAAGGCAAGGGCAGCTCCGCTGGCGGAGGCCGGCGGAAGCTGGCGGCAGCAAGGGAGAAACGTAGGGGAGGCCTAGTCCAGCGCCGTCCGCACGGCAGTTGAGAGCCCCACACGAGGCTTCCTGCGCCGATTGGTCATTGGCGTAGTGCGCTACGTACGGGAGCACAGGAGAGGCGACCCCCGGGTGGCAGCACTTTGGGGGCCCAGGGGTTCCCGCATCGGCCACACCGAGGCGGGCGTTTGTCCCCTTCGGCATCGGGGCGCCGCTTTTCTGGGCCCCTGGGGGCCATCGAGCCCAGCTCGGGCTGATGCGCTGGTCCCTGGGATGGAGGTCTATGTCGGCCGGGGCTGGGCCGAGGACCAATCCGTTCCAGAGCGTTCCCGAACGCCCCGAGAAGACCGCGGCGCCCGAGACGTCCTCCAGAGCCGCGAGATCTCAGGGATCCTCGATTTATCCTCCCCCGATGTTTGTCCTCGCCCTCGCCTCCAGACGCCCCAAAAGGCCCCCAAGAAAGCTTCAAGACGGCCGAGCCGGGCCCCATGATCGCCCACGAGAGCCCCAAGACATCCCATAATGGAACCGGGCTCCTCGATTTATCCTCCCCCGATGTTTGTCCTCGCCCTCGCCTCGTCTTGCGATTGCATTCCGGGGGGCCCGCTTGCAAAGAGAGTGCGACGTCCGGGGTTTGGGCGGGCGGTGGCTGCGAGCGCTGGTCTCGGCGGCGCGCAGCCTGGGGCCGTGGACACGCTGACGGCGATGTGGGTAGCGGCGGTGCGGGCTTCGGCGTTGCAGGGCGGGGGGCGGTTCGTGGCCAGCCCCAAGGGTAGGGAAGCGTTGTTCGCGCTTTCCCTGCCAGGCGTCGTGCCCTCTTCGCTGGGCGCCGTTGCGCTTTTGTTGGCATGCAGGGCAGCTGGCGTATTCCCGACGTCGCCGTGCACCAGCATCGCCGTCGGTGCGGCCTTGGAGGGGGTCCGGGGCCGGGGGGGGGGCCTCCCGAGATGGCCGCCGCGCCTCTCTCGGCGGGTGTGCGGCGCACGGCTCTGTGGAGGGCCCGGCCCCATGAGGCCCCCATTGGCTTGCCGAGAAGGAGGGCCTTACTCCTCGCCTCGTAGCCCCTGCTGTCCGTCACCACCCACCAAACTCAGAGGAGGAACAAGTACCCATACCGCTACCATTCCCTTGTTGTGCCCTTCGTTGGATTCGCATCGAAATCCTGGTCAGAACGCACCCGAGGAGAGGTCCGGGGAGTAGCGGGATCGGTTCCCCACCAGAACCACCCCAACCTGACCCGAAGTCCCCAACTTGCCCTCCGTTCCTGGGGGGGGAGGTGGGGCGTCGGGGAGCACTGAGATAACAATGTGGGAACCCGTGCCCCCTCCCAACCCGAAGTCTGGGTCTTCGGGTTCGGTTGGGGAGGTCTGGTAGGTAGTCAGTCCAGGCCTCTGGCGGGGTCCGAGCAGATGGGATCGGAGGATCACAACGCACCGCCGATGCATCGGCGATGTGGCTCGAGGTGGGGTCCGCCACGTTGCCTTCACATCGCCGATGCATTGGCGATGCGGCGCCGTCGTCCGCTCTTGCTATCGGGCGTCAAGGGAACGCGCACCCATACGACTCGATTGAGGAATTCTGCACCAGCTCACTCGACCCTGGCACTTGCAGTGTACTGGGTGCATTCCCCCGTCGGTCTTGCTAATCGGCGCGTGTGTTGTCAGATACCGCCAGTTTGCGGACGTCGATGGGTAATTCCGC